CGTGGGTGTAGAATTCAGAGAACAGCATTGTGAGGGTCGCTTTCTCCTTCCTCCTCCATGTGGGTTCTGGGGATCACACTCAGCTTTTCAGGCTTGTGTTGTTTGATGGCACGTGCCTTTACCTGCTCAATTCTTTGTCAGCCCCCACTTGTTCATTTTAAGTAGTGTCCTTCTTAATACCTCCGCAGGTAAGGTTTCCCACTTCCATAGTGGCGTAGATATTATACGTTCTGGGATTTATAGAACGAAAGTCCCAAACGGAGCTGGTGGATTAATTAGACCAAGCCAAAAGGACAGATGTTTGTCTCCTCTTGTACGGGTGTCGGTAGGTCTGCATGTGGGTGGCTGGTGGGAGACGCAGTTTAAGTGCGTGAGGGAATAGCCAGATGGCAATCTCTTTTACCTTACTGTGAAATAAAATGATTTGGTGACTGGAGGACAAGTTGTTATTAGGTTTTGGGAAACTGTCAAGATTTATAAAAGAAAAGAGGACGAAGAGGAATCTGAGACATAGGTTCCAAGTCTTCAATGGCTGGCTGGCGTTGAGGGCCCTGCATGTCTATGTGTGGGGGCTTACATCCCTTGGCATCATTGGCCTCCCAGAAACTTTCGGAGGGTCGCGGGGTACAGCGTCAAGCATGACTGAATCTACCATTTGGGGCTTTTGGGGTCTCCGGGGCAAGGTTGGGGCTTCACAGTGAAGGGTGCCGGTAGAGAGAACATTTATCTAGAGCCAGGCAGAGTGGGGACTGAAATCTGGAGGAACCTGTGAAGACCTGAGCAGTGAAGATTTCCTTTAAAGACTGGAGCACGACAGAGCTCAGAGTGGAACACAAAAGCTGGAAGTTTTACAAGAGATGCAGCAGCGTCTGCCCCCCAGTTCCAGATCCAGGGTCTAGGGAGGAGGGGGGGGGGCGAATGAGACCTTGGACCATTAAGGACCTTAACCTTGTCAGTCCTGATGGGGGTGAGGGAAGGATTTTAGTGAAGCTGGAAAGTGCACAAGGAATCCCTAACCCTGAAGCGACTCAGCGAGCGCAGCTAATAATTGGTGAGGAATGAAGGGACACTAGCTGGTAGACCCAGATAATTAGGACATAGTTTGCAGAAAGTGAAACAAGCCGAGCGCGGTGGGTCATGAATGGGATCAGACTAGCAACCAGAGAGCTCCCAATGGCCCTGGAAGCGCCTGAGGTGAGCCCCGGGGCGGCGCCCTAGGATAATTTTCTTTCCACTCTGCAGCACCAAAGGTCCAGAAGCTCCAAGTTTAGGACTCTGTCTTCATTTACCCCGTATTAGCCACTTCTCTGTTGCTGTGATAAAACACTGTGACTAAGGCAGCTTATGAAGGAGGGGCTGATTTGGCCCCAGTAGGTTCCATCAGGATAAAAGTTCATCATGGCAGGAGACACAAAAGGCAGCTGCGCACAGTGGTGTCTGCAGCGCCAGCTGACAGCTCATATCGTGAACAGGGGAGACAGAGAGGGGAGATAGAGAGAGGGGGAGGAGGAAGGAGGGAGGGAGGAGGAGAAGAGAGGAGAGAGAGAGAAAGAGGAGAAAATGAGAACTAGGAACTGGAAGTGGTTCGAATCTCTAAATACTCGATGCCCACCTCCCGTGAAACATATCCTCCAACAAGGATGCCTCTCCTAAACCTCCCCGAAGCGCCACTAATTGGGACACCGAGTATTTAGATGCCCAAGACTCGAGGGGGACATTGCTTGTTCAAGTCATCGTGCCTCCCTTTTATTCTTTCGATTTTTTAAAGCCATTATAACTAGTATTTTTATTATTGTTATTTTGAGACAGGGTCTTTCCATGTATTCCTACCTGGCTTTAATTTTGCCCACCATACCTCTGGTTTTCCTACCATTCTGAAATACTTTTCCTAAAGCTGAGAACTTGGGAATGAGGAGGCTCTCAATTACATGGTTCAGGAGGAAAACGATGTAAGGTACAGATGATGAATTTAGATGCGGGAATGGCCCCTTGAAAGATTCCAGTGATCCAGGTAAAGCCCTACTGTAAGGCTAGCACAGGCTGAGCATCTGACGGCTCCTTTAGGATGGCCTTCTGGATCTTTCCTGGGGCCAGATCACATCAGAGGAATCACACTGGGGATGGAAATACTTTATGGACTGCAGACCAGAAGCATCTCTCACCGTGGTCCTCACATAGAATATACCAAACCCGTGTGACTTACTTGACATTCGCTGACAAAGCTCTTCAATATGCTCACAGTAGGGCATAGTTCAGGTTTATGAGGGCATCTAGAGCTTCAGGCTTTTCTCCTGTCCCCTTCTTTTATTTTCAGCTCTCCAGTATTTCACTTGCCTGCCTTATAGTATTTATTATGCACAGCATATTACAACCCGACTCTGAAAGCTACTTAAGCCTTGCTATCTGCCCACCCCACCCCACCCCACCGCACCAGCCTTTCCTTTCCTTTTCTTCTTTCTTCTTTCTTTCTTCTTCCTTCCTTCCTTCCTTCCTTCCTTCCTTCCTTCCTTCCTTCTTTCTTTCTTTCTTTCTTTCTTTCTTCCTTTGGCCCTACACATTTAGAGCCTTGAGCTTAATCATCCAGCTCTTGCTAGTGCTGGATTGTGTCCCTTAGAGTTGTGCAAGCTACAGAGTGAAACTGATTAAGATTCCACAGGCCTGGTGATTTCCCTCCTGGTAGTCACCCACAAACACTTTAGGTCCGGGAACTGATGGATCATTTTTCAGGGCTTTTGCTTTCTGTTTTATTCTAGAAAAACCCAGTCTGGTCGTGAACATGGGTCTGTAAAGTGAAGTTGCCAGTGTTAGCTTTGGCTTCTGGTAAATGCAAAGGACTGCGTGTATCTTTTTACAAATGCGTCTGAGCTCTCCAGAGCACATCAGTCCACGGGAAATTCCTGTTCATTGTAGTGCCTGAGGCTCAGTGTGGTGACGCACACATGTGATTCCAGGATTCTGGAGATGGGGGCAAGGACCAGGACAGGGTCTCTGTTAAAAGTCTGACGGGGCTGCATGGTGATCTTCAGGATAGTTTGAGCTCCCCCAAAGCCTGTCTCAACAACAACAACAAAAAAAAAAACAAACAGAAAAAGTTGGAGTTGGGCTAAGATTACTGGGTTACCACTGCTGTGTGACTGGTGGTATCATGTGATCCACCCAATGATCACACAAGACCTGGAGGGCGTCGATGTGGATTCTCAGATTTTTCTGAAAAGAGACTGGCCCTGATTTTGTGCGTGCGTGCGTGCTTGCGTGCGTGCGTGTTTGTGTGTGTGTGTGTGACCTTTTCCCTGTTACCTGCCTAGTAAGTCTCCAAGCTACATGACTCCTGCTAGTCTGTAGCAGGCCCTCTGACTGTATGAAGACAGGGGAACAGATTAAGGCTTCATTTGACATTTCGACATTGATTTGGGTGAAAAAACGAGGCCAAACACTGTTGGTTGAGAACATAGGGTGTTGTGAATCGATTTGACTTGGAATTGTGTAGACCTTTTGGCCAGGTGCCTGGATTCTGTCATATAGAACCGCTGGATTGGAGAGGGTAGACTGACCCATGAGAATTCTATTGCTATGCAGCACAATCCCACTGTATGGGCAAATGGATCACGAGAGAGTAAGCTCACACTGGGTCAGGGTGTTTTTCCCCTCCCAAGGTTGCGGCACCAGCGACGTGGATACTTTACCTCCTTAGCTTTTGATTCCCTACGCTGGGGTTCTGGCTGGGGTTCAGCACCTGCCACTTGCTCGGGTCTTGTCATCCCTCCCCGAACATCGCATCCCGCTAAGACTTCCGCTGTGAAGGGGCCCTGTGTTGCCTTTTCCTTCTTTCCATCCTGAGTACTGCCTACCACTAGAGTGGTTTTTTTTGAGATAATAACTTTGCCTTAAAAATTCATTTTTAAGTGTTCTTTACTGTACATTTTTTTTGTAGTTGAGCACACACACACACACGTACACACGTCTGTGTCACACGCCCGAGATGACGGAATCAGAGAACTACTGGAAAACTGATTGGTGGCTGTGTGGAGCTAGGAGCATTAAGATGAAGGGGTGATGAGTGCATCTGCTGAGAGGTCGTGGGTGAATAGTTCTGGGTCTGGGTTATGCAGCATGTATGTGTTTCATGCATGACGAAATGGCATAGAATAGCACATACTTTAATTGCTGTTTCTTGGATTTTGTGTTCTGCTATGTGTGCATAAGATATAAGCATTAGGGAGAGCTTCGTGGAAGGTAGATGAATCTCTGTACAATCCTTGCAGCCTTAGGTGAATCTTTATTGTTTACAAGTTAAAAAGTAACTGATCGGGCTTTCCACTGCCCAGGTCCTTTTCTACCGTGTTTGCTGCTTGCTATGGTATCTTTCTGAAGCCATCATCCATGTTTTCTCCTTTGATTGTTCTGCTGAAATAATGATTTCACACTTGGCTTCTTGACTTAGTAAATGAACAGCAAAATGTCCTTTTTGAACAGTAACACGTCATTTCTCTATTATGCTACACCACTCACCCGTTCAAATAACTGACGTTGTATAAGTCCTGTATATCGTGCGCTAAAGCAGCTGACCATGCTGTAAAAATGGACACAGAGCTTGAACCTCAAGAGATGTGCAGTCTTGTTGACAGAGACAGAAAAATGAACAAATAGGTTGTCTCAACTCCCGTCATCTGAAATAAGTTTGTAGACACATCATCATCGTCCCTGAGAAAGGAGATGGGGAATTGTTGACAAACAATCTAATTTTTTTTTTCTGTAGCAATGCAGTCCTCAGAACTAAAATGTTCTATTTTCTTTTTTTTCTTTCCATATAATGGTTTTAAAGGCTGAATTAAGAGGAATAACTTAGTTACATGCATCCACCATACCATTAATTTTAAGTGAAATGACACCTTTTCAAAAGCACTTGGTGGGGAAGTGGTATTGAAGATAGATGCTGTTGTGCGAAAGCGCGGCTCTCTCCGCAGTAACTTAAACCTTTTCTCTTTTCTGTGTCTTTCCAGTGTGTCCTACTCAGTGCACGTCTCAGAAGATTATCCAGGTAATGTGTTTCCCTCGTTTATTTATTTATTTATATATTTTTATTTTACTGAGCACATTTGGCTATTTCGGTCCTCTGGAGGTTTGAAATGTGTGCACGCACGGAACCGTGAAGCACTGGCTGAGGAGGCATAAAGTCAGACGGAGACTCGTGTTGATTGTGAGACCCTCCAACACCTGGCCCAGAATCAACTGCAGTTTCCTGTTGAAGGCATTCTCATGGATTCCCTTGGCAACTCCGTTTTGTTAAAAACAAACAAACAAACAAACAAAAAAACAACAAAAAAAATACTAAGTACTTACTGCAAACGGACACACACACACACACAGAAAAATAATTAGGTTCTGAAGAAATGTATGCTAATCTCTTCATGCCAAATTATGAACTGCTTAGTTTAAAAAGTGAACTCGTGTGATGGCACACGACCCGGGAGGCAGGGGAAAACGCATGTCTGTGAGTTTGGTGCCAGCCTGGTCTATCTACAGAGTGAGTTCCTGTTTCGATAAAGAAACAAACAAAAAAGCCCTCCCATGCACATATGAGTACGCCGGTAGATGAATTACTCAAGCAAATAGCCACCACGCGTATGTATTTTGCATAGGAAAGCTCAGCTAGCTGGGTTCAGTCTTTTTATCACTTGTGGTGGTGTAGGGTGGGAAACCAACCAAGCGGCCACAGTGCTCAGCTCCCTCTGGTGGCAAAGAGGCAGTACTTCCTCTCCTCCTCGGAGTGGTGCTTGCAAAATATAACTTGGTTCTGTCTGAAGATTTAAGTACTGTTTTATTTATAAGATAACTTTTATTTATTTTACTTTGTGTGCATGAGTGTTTTCCTTGTGTGAATGTGTGTGCACCATGCGCGTGCCGGTTGGATCCCCTGGAGCTCGTGCTGCAGATGGTTGTATGCTGGGGGTTGAGGGAAGGATTTCTGAAGAGCAGCCAGGGCTCCTAATCACCGAGCTATCGCTCCAGCCCCGCCCCCGTCCCCCAAATTTATTTTTACATTAGTTTTTTTTTTTTTTTTGCAGTTTTGGTACTGCAAAACTGCCTGCCACTGAGTTCGTGTCACTTGCCTAACCTATCAAAATGGAAAGGATTTAACTTTATCTATGTCTTGCCTGAATGCTTGTCTGTGCATCATGTGCCCGCAGTTACCGCACATGCCCCGGGAGAGGGCGTCATATCCCCTGGGACTAGAGTTTCAGATGGTTGTGAGGGGCCGTGTGCATGGTGGGAATTGAACCCGGGTCCTCTGGAAGAGCAGCCAGTGCTCTCCCCCAACGAGCTAACTCTTCAGCCCCTAACATTTGAAATTTCTCGATAAACCATCACTTGTGTTCTTTTCTTACTAAAGTCTCATCTTGGAGTAAGTGCATAGTGAATTTCCAACATAATTTCACCTCTCCAAGATAACAGAATTTAAATGCTTATTTGATCTACTTGATCAGAGTAGGTTTCGTTTTGTGGATACTTGATCAGAGTAGGTGTCGTTTTTTGCCCAGGGAGAAGAAGATTAGTGTGTTCTGATTTAAATGCTGAGGCTGAGTTTTGGGTTGGCTGGTAACACCTGGGTCCCTTAAATACAGGCAGAATGCGGTACCAAGTGCCTCCAGGTGTACAGCTGAATCTAATTCTGAATGCCCTTATTGGTGAAGGGAAAAAACAAATGGCAATTCCCATACTTAGTCATCCTCGAAGAGTATGCCACAGAATGCCACGTGGAGCCATGGCACTTGGTGACAGCCTGCATCTTACCTCTGACAGTTGTGGCTCCTGAGGAGGTGACATGGGTCTTCCCAGTGACCGATAGTGTGATAGTATTTTCCCGTTTATTGAATTTCAATTAGATTTATTTGAGGTTTGTTAGTCAGTATGTTTCAACTTTCCAGACTGACAATAATATCACATAAGATTACGTGTTTGCTTTTCCTTTCTAATAGCCATTGCGTTTGCCCCCCCCCCCGCCTACTTCCTAGAACTTTTAGAATAATTTTCAATAATAGAAAACTTGGCAGCTTTGTGTCAAACCTATACATACATACATACATACATACATACATATATATGAATCTATTGCGTTTTTACTGGGTCTCAGTAGAGGAATCATCTCCTCCTCCACATACTAAGGTGCTGCTCTGTGACACCAAGCATCTTGATGGTACCTACCGAGCTGTGTGCACGCAGTTCTGTACTTGGTGTTACTGACTGCAAAAAGCTAATGGAACTGATGGGCTCTTCAGGCATTTACAGCGCTAGCAAGCAAGCCTGCCTGAGCCTGCCCCTTTAGATGTGGTGGGATATGCTTAGGACATTTGTGATTTTCCTGCCACAATTATGGATTTGTTTTATCTCAGCAATATTTTTTTCTTAAATGTCTTTTTGAAAAGTCATATATATATATTACACAATATATATATATATATATATATATATTTTTTTTTTTTTTTTTTTTAAAGAAAAAAGTGTTTTATACTGTTTGGTCTACTGTACCAAAAAAAGTCTTATGTAGCTTTTTTTTTTTTTTTTTTTTTTTTTGTTTTGTTTGTTGTTGTTTTGGTTTATTCTCATTCTCGTTGCTTATTTTTGTTCTTCTCTTCCCATACTTTGGTTTGTTTTACAGGACCTTTGCCTATTTCTAAAACTCTTTCAGACACATAGCTCCTTTGACTGTTTTTCAATTACTAAATCCAGTAATCCAGGCACTGCCTTACTAATTCCTTCTGGTGATGTCTGTGGGCTTATTTAACTATCTTTGGGGGATGGTTTGGCTCCAGGGATAGCTGATCATCTTGTTAGAATGGGGCTTTTGTTGTTGTTGTTGTTGTTGTTTTGTTTTGTTTTGTTTTCCTATGTGTGTCTGGATTGTCCCCTTCAGTCAGGAGCCATGTGTCACGCCCACTTGAGTCCCCAGGAACAATTTTTTCAGTGTTTAATTTTGTTTCATTAACTTGTGCTATCGATGAACATTCATTTTGTAGTCTGTGTCTGTGAAATGCAGATTTAAAGTCTTCCATGAGATGGAATATATGTAATGACATAGATACCAGGTTACTCTTTAAAATCGAGTGAATATGTAAAGTAGCCTTCTGTCTTCTGTGAGTCTCACAGAGCAGATTTCATTTTTGGTAAGGGATTTGAAATGGTATATGCATGGCGAGTCACAGGTTGGCACTGCCAAGAGCCAACTGCTCATCTGCATTGCTCACGTTTTCTCACCCAAATTAGGAGGCTTAGCCACTGTGTGACTGAGTTCTCTAATCTCCCTCTGGGTCCAGAGGAGTGAGGCTGTTTCTGGTTCCTGTGGCTACAGAGCCCTGACTTACAAATGGCATACTTGAACTGCAGATTAGCAACTCAAGTGAGAACTGAAATCCTAACACTCCAAGTGGAACCATTATATGTAATTGTTTTTACAGTTAGCAAACATTTATATCTTGTAATACGCTGCAGTTTTTTTTTTTTTTTGAGGGATCATGAGTTCTGTACTTAAAACACAATTCAGTGACAAAGTATTGACTTTCTGACTCAGGAAAAACTCAAGCTTTTCCACTTATTAATTATTTAATCAATTAATTGCCTAAGTAGTTTGAAAAGAATTAACTTCATTTAGTTTTGCTTTCATTGTTGTTAAAGGAGGCTAATAATTGGTTGGTTTGAAAATGTATGACAAAAATGACAAAATTTTAGAGGCGATTCATGGGAAATATCCAGATTATAATACAAAATCAGCATAATTGATTTTTTTATCAGTACCGTTACCGTTTCTCTTAAGTTACATAGTAATAATGAGTGGAATGACTTGACTTAAGTGACCCTGCACTTACTTGAAACTGAGTAAAATCAGTGAGGGTTGCTTTTCTGCAGCTATGCTTTCCCATCCCAATGATCCATAGAAGGGACTGTCTCTGACTCTTTCACTGTCTTCTGCAACCCAGCTGTAATACATGGGGAGGTGCCCAGTCTTTCCTGGACGGAGACAGAAGAGGAGGGGGCTTGGGGGGGATGGGGAGGGAAGAGGGGAGAGAAGGGCTGGGTGGGGGAGGGTATGGGGAGGGTGTAAAATAAATGATGATAATTTTTAAAATAAGATCCTTTCCCCAGAGCCCGAAAGAAGGAGAAAAGAAGATAAAGCCTAAAGTGTCAAAGGAAAGGAAAACCAAATGCAGCACTCAAGGGAAGAGTCCAGTGAGGGAATGCAAGACTCCACACCCTTGCTCTGTCTTCTTACATGCACCCCTTAGCTACTTACGTCTGACTTCCCATGTCTAAACCCACACGGCATAGCTTAGGGAAGAAGTAGTTATTTAAACAAGAGTGGAGATGGACTGGTTCATACAGATCGCACCTGGCTTATCAACACACTTCCTAATTTTGTGTCTGAGCCCAGCGCCATCAGGACTGATGAAGAGGTGTTGGGGAGTCAGGGGAGGTGGAAAAGTGCAGATTCTGCTGCTTTTGGTGTGGGTTAATTTTTTTGGTTTTGATTTAATGGTTCCTTCCTTTTTGTTCTTGCTTTAAAAAGGAAATCAAATCATCAAATCTACAGTTGGCTGGTCTCAATAACTGTATCTTTTAAAACTTTAAAAATTTGTCAGGAACAGAGCAAATACACTCAGAATAGATGTAGTGGTAGTTTGTTGCACATTTATATTGATTGCTGCAATCAAAGCAATGAACATGTACAGCACCACCTAAGCTGTGCGTTAGATAACCTGGAACCTCCTCATTGTACACCTTCATAGTTACACCCTCTGACTAAGCTCCCCACTTCTGTGTCCACAACCCTTGGCAACTTCTGTTCCAATACTAATCCAGCTTCTTTCCTTTCAACATCCTTAGCTGTGTATGCATGGGGGAGTAGCAGTTTGACTTACCCTAAGGACCTTAAGGTTTACTCACCCATTGTAGCCTCCCTCCCTCCCTCTCCCTCTCCCCCTCCCTCTCTCCCTCTCCCCCTCCCTCTCCCCCTCCCTCCCTCCCTCCTCTTTTAATGGCCGAGTAGAATACTACTTTATACACATTTACTGCAGTTTTTATTCAGTTGTTGATGGATACTTACGTGGCTTCTACATCTTGGCCGTGTACAAGGGATTTCAGATTTACTGATTTCATTTTAGCGGGATACCCGGAAGTGGGATGGCTAAGCTCATTAACCTAGGGGAAATGAACAGATGCAGCATCTGAGAAACATCCCGAGGAACTGTGATCAGAGCAGTGATGAGCAAGGAGACCGAGTCAGTGATCACACCCTTCTCAACAGAGAACATAATTCTTTTGAGGAAGAGTCATTTTGCTAGTCCTTTCTTAACTCTCCAGATGGGATATTCTTACCTTGGTGTGCTCTTCACTCGGCCTCTTTTCTGATCATGAATTCGATATGGCTGGCCTACTACATCATAATGAAGAGTTAACACCAGGCGCCCTAAAACCCCAGAACATTCTGATTGTAGTACATGGAGTTAAAGCAGAATCTGAAAGTATGACTAACCTAGATGACAAACATGTAGAGAATCTCTCAGAGAGCCTTTGAAGGAGTAATCCTGCCCTCCAGCTTCAGGCCACACACAGTCGACAGATTAACTCTATTGAGTCAAATCTTACTGTGTTCTGGTTCTTGAACGTCTTTACAGATTTTTAAAGCATTTCTTTTTTTCTTTTCAGTTTTCTTAAAAAAGAATCACAGACTGGTTCTATGTATTATTTTATGGGATTCCCACCTCCGTAGGAAATCCTACGAACTGAGTTACACTTAATGTCTTACTGGACCATCTCCTGACACGTTCACAGAACTGCTGTTCCTGGCCTGTGGATGGTGCGACGCTGTCCAGCTTACGGATCCGTCGTCTCTCCACCTTTTACTTCTGCTGTTCTCGTGTTCCTCCCGTCCACGTGTCCTGTTCTTTGACGACGTTTAAAATAGTGTTCCCCGTTGCTGAGGATGGCTTAGCGTTCCTTATCTTTCTACCCGTCTCTCAAGTGCTGGGTGTACAGGCCTTTGTGGTCCTCCTTACCGCTTCTCTCCTGGAGCTGTGGTGGGATCCAGTGTTCTGCTGTTTATCAAATACTCTGTCTCTGATCGTTACCACCCGACGCCCCCCCCCCCATCTCCTCCTTCTCGGCTGCTAGGAAAGCAGAGTCAGTTCTATTAGGTAGCAAACCGTTTCACATCAGTAAGACCAAGTAGAGTTTAAGAGGGAAGCAATATCTGGCTCTGAAGTTGGCCGTACTAGCCTTGGCCTGTGGTCCCAGCCCTTGTGGGTAGGGGCTCAGGCGTGAAGGTCCAGTGGTTGTCTTGGGATATGCAGGGAGACTGTGTCTGAAAACAGAAACAAAAACAGCACACCAGTCAATCAATCAATCAATAAACAAATAAAAGAAATGAAGAGATTTAGCTGTAATAGAGTTCATCCTCTACTCTCCCTTTATTTTAACCGAGCATGTGAATTCCCACAGAAGAGAATTTACATAAGTGGTCAGTGTTTCCATGTAAAACCAATTCATTTACACAAGATCTGCCTCTTGGTCCGTGATGTGGTGACAGTTAGTAAATGTGATTATGTCCCATTGTCCCCAATGGTGTCTGGAAATTAAACAGAGCCAACCTGTGATCACTGCTAATCAGGGTGATGAGGCAGACTATGCCACCCTCCCCTCCCCTCTGGGTAACTCAATAAAGCCTCTTCCTCATGGAGAGTCTGCCGACAATAAGTGGAAACATACATATCATTTACTTAATTTCAAGGTTTAAAAATAGCGCATTTGAAATAGAGAGGAACCATAATGACTTAAGTCTATCAATTAGAAGTCAGATTCTTGTGGTACTGACACAATATTATTACAGCCTGTCTCAATGCTTCTTAAAAATAGATCCTTTCAGTTATCCAAGCAGAAATTGATTCATGTCTCTATTTACTGAAGGTGTTTCATTCTTTAGTAAGTTAGTGGTATTATAGGAAATTTGCCTTTAAGTTATTTTCTTATCACTTTATTTTTATTTTATTTATTTATTTTTGAGGCAGGGTGTCAGGGTGTATTCCTGGCTACCGTGGAACTCAACTGTGTAGACCCAGTGTCTTGGTTAGGGTTTCTATTGCTGCGAAGGAACACCGGGAAAATATAAAGTAAAATATTTAACTGGGGCTGGCTTACGGTTTCAGATATTTAGTCTATTATCATTATGATGAGACATGGCAACTTGCAGGAAGACATAATGCTGGAGAAGGAGCCGAGAGCATTATTACATCTTGATCTGCAGTCAGCAGGAGACAGTCGTACTGATATAGCTTGAGCCTATGAGACCTCAAAATCCGCCCCCACAGTGACACACTTTCTCCAACAAGACCATGCCTCTTAATAGTGGCACTCCCTATGGGCCAGACATTCAAATACACGAGTCTATGGGGACCGTTCCTATTCAAACCATCACACCCAGGCTGGCCTCAGACTCACAGAGGTTGGCCTGCCTCTGCTTGTAAGTGCTGATATTTAAGTGTGTGTGTGTGTGTGTGCGCGTGTATGTATTGCACGTATATGGAAGTCAGAGGACAACTCATAGGGAGTCAGTTTTGTGCTTCCAATATGTGAGTACTGGAAGTTGAACCTAGGTCATCTGGCTTGGTGGAGAAGCCCTTTATCCACAGAGCCATCCAGAAGGTCTGTACAATGGGACGTTGGTTAGTGAGCTGGCAGTATTATAGATGCCCTTCAGCCATTAATGAGAAAAGTAGATAAACAACTGGGTGTTATATTATTATAATAGGATATTGTCTGACCATACTTAGAGATCTATATTTGTTTTAAAAATAAGTGAATTTATACATTTCTTTTCTAGAGATAAAAATAGTGAATAAGAAACGCAAGGACTTAAAGTATAATTTAATATTCAGCGTGCAGTACATTTAGATAAAATTGATTTGTAGAAGGATGATTCTGAGGCATAATAGCAGCTTACATAACAGCAACATGGAGGGTGCAGTTTCAGGAAGTGGCTGCCCGGAGTTTCTTCCCCTCCCTTCTCCTCCGTCTCTTTCCTAACTAATATTTTTTTTTTTTTTTTTTTTTTTGCTTCTGTTTTATTCTAGATGGATTTCCCCCTGTGTGTCCTAGTTTGCTTCCTAGTGCTGTGATAAACAGCAGCGAGTTAGGGAGGAAGGGGCCTTTTTGGCTCACTGTCAGTGTGGCATGGAGGGGAGTCAAGGCAGAAACTCACGTAGGAGCAGAGGCAGGGACTGTGGCGAGCAGCTGCCCAGTGCATTGCTTCCCATGGCTTGCCCAGCTAGCTTTCTTACATAACACTGCAGGGCCATTGCCCAGAGCTAGCACTGTCCACACGTGGCTCAGAGCCCCCTGTAAACCATTCATCAAGAACATACCTGCAGTTACGTGCACAGATGATGAGTCTGATAGAGACAGTTCTTTAAATGTGGTCCTCCCTCCTTCCTCCCTCCCTTCCTTCCTCCCTCCTCACATGACTCCAGTTTGTGTAAAGGTGACAGATCTAACCTGTAGGCTAAGAAGGCTCTCTTCCTATGTCAGCCTCCCAAATATTGGAATTATGAAGGAGTTGCCAGCTTGTTTGGTTTTTTTTTTTTTGTTTTAAATATGAAATGTCCCCTAGTTACCTCCTTAACTGACTACCTCACCTTTTGAAATGGATTGGTATGGAGCAGAGTGCTGTCCTGTGACTGGAGTGAAGCTGCTGCATCCAAACAATTGGTTGCCTTAGGCTGTGTTAGAAATGTTTGAGAACTGGGCCTAGTGGAGAGGCCTCCTGCAAACTTGGCACTTAAAGAGACAGGCAGGAGGATGCTGGATGAGAAGGCTACACAGGAAGACCTGTCTTAATTAAGCCCTCTCTCTAACAAAAGGGAAGCGTGGCTCAGAATGCTTTAGATACAAAGTCTGTACTCTTGGGGAAGCGGCAGGATCCTCTGAAAAGGCTGTTCCTTTAGGCTTAAGAGACACATTCCTTCGTTTTTCTGAGCGGATGAGAGCAGCAATAAGTGAGAACTGGATTAAATTGATGAAGATAATGTCTATTGCTTTTACAGAGGATGTGTAATCATTATACAGCGTCTCCTGTCATTTTTCTTCACAGACAATACGTATGTGTCAAGTTCAGAAAATGATGAGGATGTACTAGTCACTACAGACCCAATTCCCGTCATTTTCCACAGGATAGCAACAGGTAACGGTGACGCAATATTTTCCTTTCCTTAGATGAAGATTTTTTTTTAAAACCGTTGACACGTTGGTGAACTTTGTTTCCAGTATAGCAAATGCAAGTGTGTGCATTCCAGAAATCTGTTCACATAATTTTTATATCCAAAGTATGTTAGCTTTTGAATAATGTTCAAAATGTCACGTCAACATCACCCGTGAAAGTATATTTTCATCCATCATGACAGTGCTGGACAAACTGAGTACAAAACCCGGGTCGCTGAAGCTACCTTGAAGTAAATAGTAGAGCTGAAGAAATCTGGGTCTTGTTCTTTAATTTGTTAGTGTTTCTATGCACAACAAAAAATTGAAAGTGCTTACATGATTTATCTTCATAATATTTCATAATTCTTCCACAAAAGGGGAGGAAAGCCTACAGTGATTTTAATCTAGGAACTCACAAATGTTTGGCAAACAATGTGCTAAAATCCAAAGTAACTTAAAAATTCTCTTTTGCAGAATTAAGAAAAACGAATGATATTAATTGTTGTTTGTCCATAAGATCCAAATTACAAAAAGAAAATGGGGAGGTATGTAAATTTCATTCCCTTTGGCCTCTTATTTTGATATTTTTAAATTTACCAGGTATTTGAATTTTGTAATTTATTTGTACTACAGTTGTGTATGGTGAATGAAAGGAAAACTCACTTTTATTTTGGTATTGTATTAAGACTGAGTTAAAATTAACCCTGATGAAGTTCCTGCTAAATTAATAGAAAATAATCTAAATAAAACATACATGCCATTTAAGTCATTCTTTATTCTTTATTCATAGCAATGTAGTTGACAGAGAAACAACCACATGCCTTATGTTACACGTATAAATGGCTCTCTCTCTCTCTCTCTCTCTCTCTCTCTCTCTATCTATCTATCTATATATATATATATTATGAGATCTTTGCAGTTATTTTTGTAAAAGGTGTGGTCTCTTAAGCCAAAGTAACATAAACACGGGAGTAGACAGTATATTCCAGAGGTTTCATTTATTTATTTAAAAAATAAAAAAGCCTTAAGCAAGTTTTTCTCATATACTTGCGGGTAAAAAATTTTGCTTTGATGCATGAATAACTGCCAGAGCATTAAATAGAGAAGGTACAATATGACAGTTACTTGACTGAAAGCTACACTTACAATGTGACCCTTCTTTGCTGTTAGTGTTGTGCCGTTCACTGGGTCTTCCCCTGGCTTTCCACTGTGACAGTTACTGAAGAAAGCTGCCATTGACCAGAACCTGTTAGATTTTATTTTCACCCACAGCCCCCCTTACTGGTTGTCAAATTTTCCCCAAGGATTTGAAATTTAGGTATTATCACATGGATGGATGGAGTTCTGAATCCAAAGGAAATGCTGATTTTATCTATTTTCCTTTTTTTTTTTCTTTAAAAGCAAACTTTACTGACCATGACAGTGATAGAAATACCTCCGCGAGTTTTCATTGTACTTCAGATACATGACAGATGTTCAGCTCAGTTAATTAAAATCTCAGACATCAAGTTAAAGCATCTCAAATTAAGCACCCTTTTGAAATTTGAATTTCCAGCCACATCATTTCAGTATACTGAAAGTTCTCTTTGTATTATGATTTGTATTTTTGTTGCATAATTTGATATTTTGCATTATTGCATTCCGAGTTTCCTCTTCGCCATTGTGGCTTTGTGTTGGCAGTGGAAGTGGAAACCATCTTGGATAAATAATACAGACACACTTCTTAGTAAGAGTTGAATTAGTGTGAGCCTGTCAAGCATCTTATCAGAGAAAAGCTGAACGCACACCCGATTGTACAGAGTTTTTAATGTTCATGAAACGTGAAGCTGCAAATATTAAATATTTTTCTCACTGGAAACAAACTCCAGTAAGGGTTTATTTTTAGTAAAGTTATAGTTTTCTTTTCTGTTTGTCTTTTGGTTTTTGATCAGCGTTTCTCTGTATGGCTTTGGAGCCTGTCCTGGAGCTCTCTCTGTAGACGAGGCTGGCCTCCAACTCACAGAGATCCACCTGCCTCTGCCTCCCGAGTGCTGGGATTAAAGGCGTGCTCCACAAACTTCTCTTAAAGAACTAAGTGCATCTACTAAGTTATGCCTCTTACTCCTTTTGTTTTGAAGTTGTACTGTACCAACGGTGTTTAACATATAAAATCCCCTCACTGTGTCAGAAGCTGCCTCTTAACGGCTGTTTCCTAGTTTGTTTGACCACTGGAATTGTCCTTTTCACCACTTGAAGGAGTCAAGGCAGAACAGTACCGTGGAGGAGGATTCGGAGGGCGACAACGACTCCGAGGAATTTTATTACGGGGGCCAGGTAAGGAACCCTGCCTTCCAACACCCACCGTTGTGTGGGTCCTAGTAGAGGAGGACAGCCTAGAAGTTGTTCAGGCTTCAGGAAGCAAGCAAACACATGAACAATTTGTGTTTCACTTTCCACACGTTTTCAGAAATTAAGATTTTCTTTACGGATCTTTCCACTGTGGTCAATAGAAACCGTTTTTTTCTGTGACGTTTTCACAAGTAGATAGCATTCTCCTCCACCCTATCCCCCCCCCCCCCAGTTTCTGGTCTTCTTCCTCCCTCAAATGGTCCCTCCTTCGTCTCACCATGTCTTTCTACTCTGTTGTCCCTCCTCCTTTACTCTGGCCATCTTCTTCTCCTCTTCCCTGTGCTCCTGCCTCCCTCCCTCCCTCCCTCCCTCCCTCCCTCCCTCCCTCCCTCTCTCCTCTCTCTCTCTTTCCCTCTCTCTCTCTCTCACACACACACCCCATAGTTTTCACATGAGACAAAACAAGTGTTGTTTTTTCTTTCTCCTAGACAAAGAAATATTAACAAGAAATACTTGTAAACATTTGTACTTTGTAACAAAAGCAGAGCTTATTAGTTTTAAACTGAAGCTAGTTAAATTTTACGACTTTTGACTGGTTATAGTCATTGAGAAGTATTTGTTTTCGTTCTGTTGAAAATATGTGAGGAAGATTTTAAAACATGCCTGAGAAATCTGGCTACACATATGAAGTCGGATTTTCCTTTGGGCTGCCAGCTCACAAATAACAGCACGGAGACTTACCAATAATTATGAAAGCGCGACCTTAGCTTGGCTGGTCCAACCAGCTCGTATAACCTAAATTAACCCATTTATATTAATCTACATCCTATTACATGGTGTTACCTCACTTCTGTCTGCACCTCCTCTTTCCTCTCCATGTCTCCTGGCATCGCCTTCTTCACAGCGTCCCTACAGGTCCCCCTCCCCCAGCCTCCTTCTAGCTATTGGCTGTTAAGCTTTTATTACACCAATCACTGTAATACAGTTTTACACACAGTGTACAAATATCCCATAACACATACACGATAGATACACGGTGACTCATAAGACTTTTCCAGGATAATGTCCAAATTTAAAGCTGATCTCTTGATTTTAGGATATAATCGTGCAGTATGTTGTTAGGTATCTGTAACCTCGTTGGTCAAATGTCTTTGTAATTTGTGTTCTGCGAGGGAGGGATAATATGATAAAAGTAGACTTTGAAAGATAAAGTTATAATGGAAAAGAACTCACATGACACATATTCAGAATACAAACAAATCAATACTCGCTAAATCGGACATGCACAGGCAGTAGAAAAATGGCTTCCTCACATGGAGTAACTTTCTGTCTGATGGGCACTTGTGGTGCAGCACAGCACTTTACCAGTGTGCAAAAGAGACCTTCCAAGTCTGATTGTTGTTATCACTGCTCATTCTTCTGGAGGAAATTGGCTGTTTTGATTCAGTCTAGATGTTTCTTCTAAAAGGTTTCCAGGAAAAAAAATACATACATACATACATACATACATACATACATACATATATATATGCCATTCATCCCTTTAAACATAGCTTTTGCTTGTAATATGAATTTAACAATGAAAGATGCACCCCTACAAATGTTGGAAGTAGAAAGGTTATCTCCTAGGACGTAATAGCATAGTGAAAGCATAGAGAAATAACCCAGGCCTCCATTCCTTGGTATCGGAAGGCATTATGTATTGGCGCGCTCCACCATGCCGATGTGTGTTTGAAATATCTAATGCAAACAGAACGGAACTCGTAAGCCATACTGAGTAGGAATGGATGTCAAATAAAGGGTTACCTCACAGCACAATAAATAGAAAAGAAGACAAGAAAACCAGTGTCAGTTGCAAGAAAGGTATTCGGGTATGCCATAGCCTTTTAAATGCACCTTCTCTTGTTTGCGATTTCTTTTCAGGTTTGAGCTTGAAAGCATGAGACAGAAGACTAGATTTAAGAAAGACAGCTCAAGTAACAGATTAAGTAGGACATCACAGATTGACAACAGATTCGATGAATCATCTTTGAGGGACCATGGTAGAATTGGCCCTGTGATTCATCAACTTTAGGACTTTAGATTTATGCTGGGGTAAAAGAGGCTTCTGGTCAGCCAAACATACTCTGTGGAGTCCTTAAACAATATGTGTACATTAATCTCCTGCTTGATACTTAACAACTGAACACATACCGATTTGGCTGTTGGCATGTATAGAAGGAACAAGAAAGGTAAAAAGAGAAGAACAATAAAATGTTTGAGTTCCTAGTGAAAGCAGCATACTAATATTCTATGTTAACAAATGGGTCTATATTTCTAATTCCATAATACATTTGGATTGCTAAGTAAGGGAGCAGGGCATTCCCAGAATTCACACACACACACACACACACACACACACACACACACACACACACACACACACACCACACCCCCCACACACACACCACACACACACACCACACACACACATGCACGCACATATAAAACACACATATACACATCTACCTATATGTGTACATGTGTGTATATAAAATAAATGAACAAAAAGGAGAGTGTAATTACAGTGAGAATTTTCTCGAAGTGAAAGTCTGATTCTGACTTTAAACGTAGTGAACTGTCCTAGCCATGCGTGGACTGAAGAACTTTGTGCAGATGCCGTCAGCTTACCTGTAACGCCGAGAGGCTTTTTCACGTGAGTTTGGGTCCTGGTTCCCTGACTCTCTTCACTGAATCCCCAATTACCCTTTTTGGCAGGTGAACTATGATGGGGAACTTCACAAGCATCCCCAGCTGGAGGCTGATTTGTCAGCAGTGAGGGAGATCTACGGGCCACATGCAGTTTCTCTCAGGTAAACATGTCCAGTGTGTTACCGTATGTCACGAGACACTGGAATTTTCTATGAAGTAAAATTCTTTTCTGTGATATTATTGGGGAATGTTTGAGGAATTCTACTAAGGCCCTTCTGGTGCAAAATGACGTTCTTGTTACAGGTCATTTTAAAGTTAAATTAGTTAAAGACATAATTCATTTTGAGAGTTAGTTTTTAAAAAGTACCAGTTTTGAAAAGTGTAATTAGCTAGGCGCAGCAGCATGCACTTATGATGTCAACGCTTTGGAAAGCCGAACCAGGAAGATTGCCAGTGTGAGGTCATTTGGGGTCATAATTTGCTATACTAAATGTTTCTGTTAAGTCTGGCCATGTCATTGTAAACAATGTAAATAAATAATGGGGAACTACTGGTAACCAGGTCACGTGTCCACTGAAGGCGTGGGTGGAGGGTGGTGGAGGTGGGAGACATATGATATGACAGGTTGAATGATAAAAATGTGTTTTAGTATATCTGGCAATAAAATTTCCAGCTAAATTTTTTTTTATTATGTTTAATGCTTTGGGAGATTTCCATCCCTGTTCTCTTTCTCTATTTAGTGCAAGATGTCTGGCTGGCTTATTTTGGAGTCTCACTCTTGGCATAGAGCGTAGACTTTATGTATCCACAAGATTCTAGGCACCTTTCACAGCCTGACCTCAGTTCCAGCCCTGATGGGAGAGGTCATTCTATAAATGTTTCTCATATTGGTTAATGAATAAAGCCCTGTTGGCCAGTAGGAAAGCAAGATAGATGGGACTAGCAGACAAGGAGGAGAGAGGGGGTAGTAGGGAGGAGATTCAAGATGGAGGATGGAGAGAGCAGAACGCCAGCCTCTCTCTCCGGTAAGGTAAGACCACGTGGAAGTACTTAGATTAATAGAAATGGGTTAATATTTAAGACAGAGCTAGCCGATAAGAAACTAGTAACTGGCCTATAGAATTATATCAAATACAGAGTCTCTGTGTGTTATTTGGGGCTGGTGCAGTAGTGGGCCCAGGCTGGCGGGGAGTGAGGGGGGACAACTCATAACACAGCCCTGACTACCAAATAACCCAGCTGGACCAGGTTACTAGGCACAAAGTCGGCCTCTCATTGAGGGGTACTCCCTGCACCCCCCCCCCCACTGTGAAGGTCAGCTGCATAAGCTCCCCCCCCCCGCCCCCGCCAGATCTCAGCATGGACAGCCAGCTGTACAGCCAGCATCTGGCTCTTGCCTCTTGATTACAACATTTCTGTTGTTTTATTAATAATTTATTAACTAGGCTGAGATTTGTGGTAGATACAGCACCATATTTTATTTGTTGTATTTTGCTTTTGCTTGTTTTTAAAGTCATTATCCCGAAGCCCCTTATAGTATGGGTGGGTGGCACGGGGTAGAGGATTCATGGTAGATTGTTGACCGTTTTCAGTGGCGGCATTTGGAAAAGGACACATTATCTGTCTGTCACTCTTCAGTGATGTAGCTCTTCAGCGGACATACCCACATTTAGGGAAGGCGGATGAATATTTTTACTTAGGAAGTCTACACATGAGTAATTCATAATTGTCAAACATTTTACTTAGATTTTAGGAATAGCAACTCAGTGCCACCTCTAGCCTAGGTGAGCGAGGACTGTGTCTCCAGAACATCTCTCTCATTCCTTTGGAGGCACCTTAGGCTGACAATGGTGGGAATTTTACTTGGCAAGTGAAGTTCTTACAGATTTTAAAAATTTAGCCAAGTAGTTGTGATCGCTCCACGGTTGGTCTGTCGTGTGGTCCAGATTAAGTACTGTGGACATTCAGGGTTAGAGTGAATGCATGAGGAGCCACGCCTTTTTTTTTTTTTTTTCCCTATGGTAGCGGAACTTTCCTAGGAGACAAACCTTTAACTTTAAATACAATAATTCCCCCACCAAAAGAAGGCTATGAAATATAAATATTATATTCAACCTAGAATTCACCTTCCTACCCTCCCCTCCAAACATATTCTATTCTGTTGCTTAGAGGATTGCTCTAGTTGAGATTTTTCTCAAGCACATTCCCATATTTTCTGAGCCGTCGTCTGACTACGAAAGCTTTGTGTCCTTATCAAGTATTTTTAAGTATTATTTGACAAGTCTGGCGATCCCTCTTAATACTTTGTATTAATAACAATGGTATTGACAGTTATGATTTGTTGAAAGTACGTTAAGTGCTTGGAGTGCCAACCAAATGAAATACCTAAAAGTCATGAATGACTTGAATTATTTCACTTACAAGTTTTGATTCCACTTAAAACTCAATACAAGCTGTATTCTTACCTTGTCTAGTTTTTTTCTAGCTATAGAAGATGACTGAAGAACAAATAATCTCTAGAGGTTGCTTGACATGAAGTGTATCGCAGCAAAACTTGTTTGACTTACTTGAAGTAAATAAAAATGAATTTGCAGTCTCCTCTTCTGGCCCGAGACAGGCTAGGAAATGGGTAGTTAGATGGAAGGCCTTGCCATCTTCCTCGCTGAGTTCCAAGTCTATTGAAAACAGAATGTTTCAATTAGCTGTTCCTTTACTTAATTGAGGCTTATAAGGAACTTAATGGAGTTTGAAGAGCAAAAGTACCTTAATATGCACAGTAGGCTATTTGGTGTCATTTTTTTTTTCATGTGGCATCTAATGAGAAAGGCAGTTAACCACATCTGAGTTCTTTATAAGAGATAGAAAAAGCTGATTGCCTAGGTTGAAGCAAATCTCTTTTAAAAGCAGGGTAAATGTAGCTATGGAAAAAGTAATTGGTAATGGATTTATTATTAAAATTGATAATGGAAGCTCAACCCGCCCCTACATCCCAAACAACACAGTGGCTCTGTGCATGTCAGTGTTGTGGGTGATTCTGATGCAGAATATTGTGAATTGCAGGTGAGGTAGATGCAGGTGGTTGGACTAAATGTGTTTCATCTAGAATCATGGAGCAGTGTGTACTAGTGTTTGTTTCTCTTGTGAATGTAGCCCTCCCTCCAGTCCTGTGCTCATAAAATACCACAGGTAAATGTCATTTGAAAACAACCTGACAGGAGCAATTCTAGAAGTGGAAGGAAATTCTCATTCCCCTGGAAAGAGATGGTTTTGGTAGCCACCTTGGGAAATGTCAGGCTTCAATCTCAGATGACCGATCCTTCGTTTATAACGATGACATTGTTTAAACAAACAAACAAACAAACAAGACTGGCATTGTTGGAGGGAGTACGCAGCCTGTTACTGTAGCTAATGCCTGACGCAGCAGGATGCTCCCAGGCTTGGGAAGTTGCATGTTTTGATCACCTTTATTGATGAATTGCTGGGACAAACCTTTCTGATTTTGAGGATGTGATGCTTGTAGGAACAAAGGGCTAACACTAGACTGGAAACCATCAGACCAGTACCTCCTACGAGAAAACAAAAACAAAATAAATCAACATAAAGCAAGGGGGGGGGGAACCTAGGTACAACTCAATGCCCACTTCCATTCCTCTGGTCCTCTAACTTTCCACTCAGAGCCCTCCTAAGAACTGCTTCCTCTTCTGCGCTTCTCCCCTTCCTGTCCTGTGATTGTGTTGTCTTGGCTCCTTTGATACTTGCCATAGACACACAACAGTCCTGGACAGTGAATTATGCACCCACGTGCTGTGTCTTCTGCATTCTTTGCCCCCTTGGCACCTCAGCCATGACCATGGCCAGCCCCCATCCTTCAGCACCATGCGGGGTGAAGTATAAACCATCAGTGTGTTGAGCCGTTGAGAGCCGCTGGGATCTGCAGAGAAGCCCGTCATTCAGCCGAAAAGGATCTTGAACGGCAGGTTTGTGGCATCCTGTCTGGCACGTTGGCTCTATACACCCTGTAAGTCAGAATCAGGGAAGTGATGACAGGCCTCGCACAGTGCGAAGAACCCTTGGGAGGAAGTGTTTCCCAGGCACACAAATGTAACTGAAAGCTTCAGGACCTCAGGTCCTGCGGGCTCGCCTCTGAGCCCAGCGCCTGCACTCTCTTCAGGTGACATCAAGGGCTTTTAAGCTGACCACAGAGTCACAGCGAGTTTCCCTTCTGTTCCTCTGGTACACTATTGTTTTGTCTCGCAAAAGATCGCATCGCTCTCTCATCCTGCATCTAAAGCCTTCTCAGCTTGTCTGAGAAATTTATAGCTGTGTTGGGTGACAGTCTTGGGAAAGCTTTAATCTTGCCAAGATTTCTTCGCCGTGGCTCAGTTTGCATTTCTTGGCCCATTCACAAACATCTCTCCCACACTGGAGAGAGACATACACCGAGTGGGCGCGCGTACGCAGACACGCAAGCTGTGGCGTTTCAGATGTCACAGGAAGGTGTGTGTTTCTTCCTAGGTATCTCTGCTCAGTGGCTGAAAGTAGAAATAACTAAATAACAGTAACGGGACGTTTCTCAAGAACCTGTGACAGAATTGTGCGTATATATAAATCTATAGTTTTTTATTGTGTTTTGGACAGATAATAAGTAAAAATTAGATATCTAAAATGTTTTTATAATAAGCACATTAACAGGTAATTTTGATCAGATCGTTATAACTATTGTTAACGCTATAATTAGCAAACCAGGGTTTATAGAGAAAGGAAAGCCAGCGTAGTCTAATATTCAGTACAGTATACAAAGTAAGCATATTAATATATATTTGAGTGTCTCTTGAGAGTTTATTTTTGTGGGGGAGGGGAGCTTATTTCAGCTTACACTTTATAGTCCAACACCGAAGGGTGGCAGAACATGAATACAAAACAGGAACCATGTGGGAATGCTACTTACTGGCTCACTCTCCTTAGCTTGACGTGATCCTTTCTTCCCCCGAACCCTCCCCTCTGTGTGTGTGTGTGTGTGTGTGTGTGTGTAGAGACTGGCCTCAAACTCACATACATCTGCCTGCCTCTGCCTTCCAAGTCCTGGGATTAAAAGCCTGTGCCACCCCTATCCAGGTAAAGATCGAGTACTTATTGGTGCCACTAAAGACAGGAAGAAGAA